GATTTTTATTTTTTTGGTAAATTACACTGACATTCCTGAGGTCTTTATTTAATACAGATTCTCTTCACATTTGAAAAATTACATTCCCCTCCATGAGGTTTGTAATCTCATTACAAATTGTCTCTTGGATTGCTGATATTATACCTTAAAATTTTCTAAATGTCCATTTTGTCATTTTCCCTACCATTTCTTCTTCCTATCACCATGACTACATTCTACAACTTTTCATCATTAAATTCTACTTGAACATATTTTTCTTGAGTGATGATATACAAATATAAATTTTACATAAAATTTTCAAACACAATGATATAGCCTAAAACAAAACACTCATAAACATGATTTATATTTATAACATCACTATCATAACATTTTTATGATATTTTTTGTATAGATATTTATATATGAATAGAATTTTTCATTTTTTATTTCCACCATTATTTTTCTTTCTAGTCTATTCACCTACATTTATTACAGTATTACCAAATACCATCATTCACATTTATTATAGTATTACCAAATATGGTCATTCACATTTATTATAGTATTACTGAATTTTCGTTTTTTTTCTTTGTATTTGGTGAATTTAAAAAAAAAATACAAAATATTATACTTTTAAAGTATATCTAGATTAGATGTATCTCAAAAATAAAAAATTTGTGAAAAAATATTTTAAAAAATTAATAAATATATAAAAATATAAAAAATGTACTGAATTCTTGTATTTTTTTTTTATTTTTGATATTTAGTGAATTTTAAAAAAAAAATTCACAAATTTTTTTACTTTTTAAGTATATTTATGTTAAGTATGTCTAAAAAGTAAAAAAAAAAAAATTGCTTAAAATATTTTAAAAAATTACTTAAAATATTTTTAAAAATTAATAAAAATAAAAAAATATGAAAATAAAATTTCTTGAAAAGTATTTTTTAAAAAATAAAACCCAACAAAATGACATGACTGAAAAAAATAAAATAAAATAACAAAAAATTAAACAATACACTTTTTATAGATGATGTGAAGTGCTTGCTGCCTTACTTTTAGAGCCGGCCAATGCAGATAGATGGGAAGTTTCTTGTATGAAATTCACACCTTCCACGCGTCAGCTTCCTAGTAGCTGGAGTGCAACTTCTTTGCAACTCCCCCTCGTACTACAGAAAAACGCGCCAAACCAGCACGTGTCAAATTCTTACTCGGTTTCTATCTCCCACCACCAATTCATGTATGTAATGCTCTACTTTGTAGTAGGAAAAAATAAAAAAAACTATGTGTTCATAAAATACATATAAAAATGATATAATATAAATATTGTTATAAATATAAATTATTTTTATGAATACACTAGCATGAAAGAATTAATATAAAACAATATGAAATACTTATTCAAAGAAATTATTCACAAAAGGGATTGTGATCATCTTGAAGAGTTTTTGCTAATATATTCATTTCTATCATTTGAGTCCGTATGCAGACTTCGTCATGTACAGCTAATTATTTGTGCCGCAAAAGTTTTTTTTTTTTTATCACATGTCAATATTCCCCTAAATCATATTATAATATATTTTAATTACATAAAATTATTAAGAACATACACATACATCATGACGAAGTTAATCAGAAGTATCGTCATTCGTTGATTTTCGTTAGTATTTTGATTTAAAATATAGATTTTGTGATGTTGACATAGTATGTTCTTGGAGACAGATTCCCTCTAGTTTATAATTTAGGTTGGAGGTTGTTGTTTGGATTCGTTTCGATAATTTAAATAATTTATTTTATTGGATATTTTATTTATTTTATTCATATAAAAAGTTAAGTCGATTTAATAATTATAATCGACTTAATTTATCACGTTTGTTACTAAGAAAATGAATGATTTAATTTTTAAAACACAATTGTCATTCTTTTTTTTCTTTTTTCTTTTTTTTGTGACAAGCGTAATAAATTGAGTAATTAAAATTATCAAATCGACCTAATTTTTTTTGAATGAAATATACAAAGTGTCGATCAAAATGAACAATTTAGCCTCACGCACCCAAACAACGCCTCCGAATTTTAATTATGGGCCAGACGAAATTCTCTCTACTATATTTTCTAATAATTTAACAAAAAAAGATATGTGCTCATAAAAATACCTAAAACTAATTGTGTGGTCTAAATTTAATTCATGTCTTACGGGTCTACATATAAAATAAATCTGAATTACATAATAATTTTTTTAATATATTTTTATAAATGAATTGTGTATACCTAGTAGAGAAATGTTGATAGTTTAATTATGTGGATAGACTTTTTCATACATGCAATATGCAAACCATCTATATATAGAGAGAGCCAACTCCATGTCCCTCCTCACAAGCTACATACAGCTCATTAATCATTAGTATTATCAACCCTAATTCTCTCTCTCTCTCTCTCTCTCCAAAACAATGCAAACAGCTTCCATTTGTTCCCTACAACTCCCCTTACCTCCCTTTTCCGGCAATTCTCTACGACAGAAACCGAGTTCTCGCCAAAGAAGAAGAACATCCATGACAGTTTTCGCATCGAAAAAAGATGCATACGGATATGGTAGAGACTACAATGGGAGGATAGTTGACGAGAACATGATTGTGTTAAGGAAGAGAATTCACGAGGCGAAAATGGCAGAGACGAGGGACTACTACGAGTCATCGACACCGCCACGTGATTGTGGTTATTGGATGGAATGGGAGAAGAAATATGCTGAAACAAGGTATGATTCGGATATATGTGAAGCAATGGCTGTTTTGCAGACATTGTTGATGGAGACGAGGCCGAGCTTGGTTGTGGGGATGGTGGCTCTTGTTGGGTTCACCATGCCGGCTTCGATGGCCGTGGCTGTGTTTCATTTGGTGGAAATGGTCAAGGCCATGTTAGGTTAGATGAAGCTCATCTTGTCTAGTTTAGATTTACGTGGTTATTTTGATGGCAAATATAGATGAATTTCAAAGATAATAGATAGATAGGATGTCTCTGTACACAAACACAACCCAAGCTCTTCATTCTTATTCTTTCTTTTTTTTTAAAAAAAAAAAATTAATTTGTTATTTATTCAACAAGTGCTTTATCGTTTGTCTTCTTTTCTGCTACAATTTGTACCGTTCTAGTTTTGAGGCTTACCCTTAATCCTGGAAAATGTTATTTACAATGCGAATTTCTCAGAGTAATTATTCTATTTTTTAAAAATTTTACGTTGATAGTGTATTGAATTAATAACAAGAGGCTAAATGAATCCATATGAATCTAAAAATAAAAATAAAAATGATGGACAAACTGTAAATAGACAAACGTGGTGTTCCAAACATACTAGGAAATTTTTGATTGTATACTTATCTACAATGAAAGTGGAGGCACGAAGAGGGAGAGAGAGAGAGATCAAAACATAGAGAATGTATTCATAAATAAAAAAGTTATTCATACAATATTATTCATAAAATTTTATTTCTGAATGCTTCATTTTGAAATAAAATAACTATGAAAATTCTATTAGTATAACATTTTTATGTAATGAGGTAAATATTACATAAGAATAAGAATGTTATACAAAAAATAACGTAAAGAAGAGGAAAAAGAAGAGAGAGAAACGGTTAAGAACATGTCAAGTGGAATGAAAATTAGACAAAATGTAAAATAACTACTCCTTATGGGGTTTTCATGTCAATTTATTCTTTTTTTAAGTATTAAAAATACAATTTTGATGTAATTATGTTCTTTGAATTTCATGAAATCTGATTAGCAGAAAACAAATTCATGTCAATGAGAAGTCTCAAACTATATTTAGAAAATACTATTCATATATAAAATTTATACACATACAAAAAAAAAAAAAAAATCACTAAAAATGATGTAATAATGCTATTTTGGTAAATAAATTTTGTGAGCGTTTTGTTTTAAAGTGAATAATTTACATTGAACGACATCACTATGTATAAAAATTTTGTATAATTTTTTTTTATTTTCATATCATCATTTAACTATATTTAGATTTAAAAAATACATAACAATGAGAGTTAATTGAATATATTCAATACATATAATTAATCACAAAACATATATTTATTCACATAATTTAAACAAAATAATTTTATTGGTTCAGAGAAGCAGTCTACAAACTCCGCACTAATAAAAATTTTAAAAAATGACTGAAACCCAAATTGCAAAGGCTTATTTATTTGTTTATTTGTTTAAATATCATCTATCTGTTCACATGTTACCTATCTATTCACTTACATGTCCACCTCATTGCCACCAGTAGCTGTTGCCAATCGCAAATGACTTTTTCGATCAATATTTTGACAACTTTTCAATGCGTATTAATATCACTAAAAGAAAATTGAACTAAATAACATATAACCAATAAGTATGAACTTTATCACTAATTAGCCAAAAATTTTATTTATTTATTTGTTCAATTTACTCCAATAGTTAACGTTGGTATAAAAAATGTCAACAGTTGTGTCATATTTGGGTACCGAAGCTAGAATGTAGGGAGAAGCTGTATAATAAAATAAAAGTGCCGTCCTTCGATTAGGAGTCAAACCTCAAAACTAAGCCAAATCCAAAACGCCACATCCCATTTAAGAGAATTTCTTCCTCCAATGGGAACCCCATGTGATCTACAATTGTTTATTTTGAGTTTATAACGTGTGCAAGCTTCTCTTCTTCTTTCTTTTTTTTTTTTTTTTTTTTTTTTTTTTTTTGTTGGTGACTGATTCAAACTGTGGAGATGTATTTCTGTTTCGAGTAAGGTCATGAAAGATGATTTTGGGCTGAGATGTCGAAGTAATAAGTTTGTAATAGCTGAGATATTTGGATAGAAAAATGATATATAAGTCTATTTTTTAGGTTTAATGATGTGTAAGTGAAATGATTAGTTGATAAATAGAAAAAGGGAGTGTTGTCTTAAATATTCTTAGCTAATGTCACATCCATCATTAAATTTGAAAAGTAACATTAATTTTTTTAGAAAAATTTATCTATAAATCCTATCTTGAGAAATGGTAATCCGATTAGTCTCAAGAGTTTTTTTATAGACCAATTAGTCCAATTGATTTTAGAAATATAGATTTAATATATTATTTGAATATTGAATTTACACTTATACCTTTATTTCTATTATGTTTTCTTCTTCTTCTTTTGCGTGTGTTAGAAAAGTAAGATACATAATTTATGAGAATCAAATTTAGGATAAATTTTTATTTGGAATGACTTGAAATGTAAGATTTTTCAAACATTTCAAAAGGAGTACAAAAATGATTTGAAATATGAGATTCTTCAAACATTCTAAAAAGATCTGAGATTCTTCAAATATTTTAAAAAGAAGTACAAAAATTCCTTAATAAATTTTGAGCAAATGTATAATTTTAATCTGTAATACTCCAACGTAACACTTCAATGTAATACTCTAAAAAACTCATTATTATACTTTTTCCAAATATAACACTTCAATGTAATATTTCAAAAAAATTCTTTTGTGTAACACTTTAATGTAGCACACAAAAAAAAATTTTAGTGTATTTTTTTCAAACGTAATATTGCAATGGAACACTCCAAAAAATGGATGTGGAATTCTTCAAACCATTACAAAATGGTGTGGGATTCTTCAAACCATTCCAAAAATAGTACAAAAATTTCTCAGTAAGTTTTGGATAAATGCATAATTTCAAATTGTGAGCATTACATTTGGAAAAAGTATGCAAAATATTTTTTTAGTGTTTTTATGTATATTACATTGGAGTGTTACGTTTGAGATTACATTGATTAGAGTGTTACGTTTGAGAAAAATACACTAAGGAGTTTCTTTGGGTGTTATATCAGAGTGCATTTTACCGGAGTGTTATGTTTGAGAAAAGTTTGGAGTGTTACATTGTTATGTTTAGGAAAAGTACAATAAAAGATTTTTAGTATGTTACGTTAGAATGTTACGTTATTAGAGTGTTACGTTTTTATTTGTAATGTAGAATTTGTTATAAAATTAGGGAAAATCTAAAATCTCCATAGTGCAGATTGCTTAAATGTATAATTTTACATTTAGAGAAACTCACTTTTATCTCTAAAAAATTAAACCCAAACGTGTAAGTGACTGTCATTTTATATAATTTTCACTTTAATGAAACTTTTGGATTCATAAAAATAAAATAAAAAAGACTAAATAATTCATAAAATTACATTTTAAAATTTATTGATCCTTCACTTAAGAGTTTTTATTTAAGTAACATCAGGTCCGTTTGGTAGAGTTTATTTCTAATTTATTTCAGCTTTTAGTTTAATTTGAACTATTTTGGTGTGTTTGGTTCAGTTTAATAATACAGATTATAACTTTTTTAAATCAAAAATCAACTTTTTCTTTAAATGTGGGAGGAGAAGCTTTTTGGAACAGCTTAACCGGGCAGTTATATCACCTATTTGGGTAATTCATACCCCGACTGATATATTAGGTGAGGAGTCACCGTTAAATTGGGTGTAGTTAGGATCTCTAAGAGCATCTCCAACCCTGAACTTCTTTTTTCACCAAATTTGAATAAAAAATGTCTCATTTTCTCAATTTGATATCATTGGCTCCAACGGCGCATCAAATCCCGTGGGTGAACCGGTTGGTCGACCGGTAAGCATAATTTTTTTTTTAACCGTTTTGAACTGTTTGAACCCATTGTTTGTGAACTGGGAAGGGGCGACCGGTTGGTCGACCGGCCGGTCGACCGATCAGGCAAATAAATTTTTTTTTTTGTTTCCCTCAATTTCTTCCCAATTCTTTTTCCTATTTCTTTTTCCCTCCATTATAAGCTCAAACTCAGAATCAGATAATTTATTCAGATACTAGTAATTAAAATTTCAAGGAAAAAAAATATGTAATGACACAAAAGAAACAAAACTCACAACATATAAACGTAATGCTATTCTGAAAATGAAATACTCTGTCTTGATATAGAAATCAGATCTATTTTATAGAGCACATCATTAACGGTAAATTTTCAAAATACTCTGTCCATCCAACGGTAATTTATTATTGTCGATAAATTTTCAAAATACTCTGTCCATCCAATGGTAATTTATTATTGTAACGGCTAGTTGTCAAAATATGTATGTAAAAGGTAACAATTTTATTTATATTTTGAAGAAAATTTAAATTTATATCACCCTTCAAATTATTCATAATCCACAAAATAAACTATGTCAAAATAAACCAGCTCAAACAACATGAAACCAACCAGTTCAAACCTGTTTTTGCTAGCCTCAAAACTATAGCCGAATTACTCAACCTGGTCGACCGATGGGTCAACTGGCCGGTTGACCGGTTGCTCCCAACGCCCACGGTTCAAACCAAGCAGTTCAAACCAACCACTTGACAGTTCACACTAACCTTGACGCAGAGGTCAACCGGCCGGGCAACCGGTTGGTTGACCGGTTCCTCCCTCCAACGGTCACGCACAGTGTTTTGCTGAAATGTGTACACTGTTCTCACTTTGATGATTTGTTTGATGAATTCTCAATTTGATACCACTTTGGTGAAACTGTTGGAGCATGAAAAAGTGCACATCATTAACGGTAAATTTTCAAAATACTCTGTCCATCCAATGGTAATTTATTATTGTAACGGCTAGTTGTCAAAATATGTATGTAAAAGGTAACAATTTTATTTATATTTTGAAGAAAATTTAAATTTATATCACCCTTCAAATTATTCATAATCCACAAAATAAACTATGTCAAAATAAACCAGCTCAAACAACATGAAACCAACCAGTTCAAACCTATTTAGCCGAATTACTCAACCTGGTCGACCGATGGGTCAACTGGCCGGTTGACCGGTTGCTCCCAACGCCCACGGTTCAAACCAAGCAGTTCAAACCAACCACTTGACAGTTCACACTAACCTTGACGC